TGGAGGAGAAGTCCTCAGATCATGGGGGAAAGTGGGGCTGGGTCTTGTAAGGGCTGGTGGGAGGGGGAATTTGAGCAAAGGTGAGTCTGTGCTCAGAATACTTGGCCCTCCTTTGCCATGTTTAAAATGAGCATCGTAGTCTCATTCGAACTCCAAAGTTGTCCTCCTGGGGCTAAGATCAGAAATGTCCCCCAGGGCCTGGGAAACACAGGAGAATCCAGATCTCAGTCCTTCCCCATTTGTAAGACAGGGCTCCCCACAGGCAAGTCTCATTCAGATAAGAAGGTAAATTCATGCTGGGCTGGGGAAGCTCATAGCTCCCTCCTCACACAGGGCTGAGGCCTCTGGGAAGGTTGGAGATGTGGTCTATGGCAAGGTGGGATGGTGTCTCAGCTGTCACTCATGGGCCCAGGGGACAGTTGTGACACATGATGGCAGGTTCCGGTCCTTTTGTCCCCAGGTGTCCCCAGGTGTCCTGTCCCAGGCAGTGGCAGGAGTTGGCCAGGGGGTGGGGACGCTGCGCAGACCCTCTCCTCACCTGTCCTGTGTGTGGATTCTCCACCACCACCAGTGGCTGCTGTGGGACTGGGTCCCCCGGCCCATGGGGAAGGGTCTGTCATGGATGGAGTGCTTCGATGATGATGGGAACTTAAGGCACAGCCAGTCCCTAAAGAGTCATCTTTGACTCCAGAAGCACATCCAGGATCCAGATGTCCCTGCAGCTGACTTCCCCAGGCACTTAGGACACAGCCCTGTGTGTCTGTGCCAGACACAGAGAGGGGACATCAGGGGGAGCCCAGACACAGACCTGCAGGGGCACGCGGGGCCTCCAGGGGATGCTCAAGGCCCACCAGGGGCTCATCCCCAGCTCAGCAGCAGGTGTGGAGGGAAGCTGAGGTTTCTTTCCAGATCCTGGAATTTCCTGTCTCTGCCTGTCATTCTTCTTCAGGGCTCTTAGAGTTTTTCCTTGTACTGCCCTGGCTTCTTCATCTGAAATGGGATGACTTGGGACATCATTTCAATACAAATTTAAGCTATTTTTTTTTTTTGCATTATCTGGTACCCATAAACTTTCAGTACAATCTTTAAAAGATTGTACAAGAAATCATTGATCCCCAGTCAATATCCTTACCTCATGGAAGGGTTTTGTGTTTGCTATGCAGTGTTGGTCATTGAGGAGGAAACAATTCTCTGGAGAGACAACTCTGTATATGCCGGGAATTTGTTTAGCTCCTGCCTTTTACCTGCCTTATGTGGGGAGGAACCATCATTTCAGTATGTCCTCCCCTCCATCTGGCTCCTGATCGTCCACCTTCAGACGGTTCCTCCTCCTCACCGTTCTGTCAAAGCTCCTGGTCTCCTGGACATCCACACAACAGGGCAGCAGGTCCCTTTGTCTCTCCCTCATGCCTGGTGAATCAGTTCATTCTCCTCATTCTCACTGAAGCCAGACGTGTTCCTGCAGCTGACCGTGCTCCCCAGAACACCCTGTTCTGGGTGGCAGCACTCTGCCTCTGCCTTTTGTCTCAGGAGTGGAGGACTAATGCCTGCTCCATCCACCTGCATCTCCTGGTGTGGCAAAGTGAGCACTGTCTGCTCTCCCTGGGCGTGTGTGCCAGGGGCTGGTCAGGAGGGGGCTCGTGTTTGTGCATCTGCACCCTCTGGATAGACTTGGGTGTACCCTGTCAGCCAGCTGCAGGGATCCTGCAGGGTGGGCGACAGACAAGGGCCCAGGCTCAGCGCCTTCTGCAGCCTGGGCTGTGAGATCTATTGGTGAGCCCCGGTGTCCAGAAAGGACATTATTATCATAAATAGGAAATAAAACAACACAGAGCATAGAACTCAATGCCACTGGACTTGCCAGTGCTATGTTTGTTGAGGATGGCATTTACATTCAGTTTTAACCACATTTGTCTTTGAATGTATTTATTTATTTATTGGAGTTTGAATAGATGGACATATATATAGATTATTTTATACACTATCTTATGCTAAAAATTTTAGTTCAATTCATTTTAATTCATTTTTAAATTCATTTTAAAATTAATTAATTTTAATTCAATTAATTAACAATAATAAGATGCAGAAAATGGGCTCATTGTATGTGGTGACATGTGTTAGGTTTTATATATGCACATGTCTGAATCAGTAGCATGTGTATGTTTTATCCTACTTAAAGTTGCTCTGACATCCTTTGATCTGTGATATTTACATCTTCCATGAAGTTTAAAACATGTGTGACTATTATTTCTTCAATATTTACTTTCCATATCTGGTATTTTATATGTTTATATGACACTATTTGATACTGATGTTTTTCTTCATTGTTCTTTTCCTTTGCACTTTGCTGTGTAGTTCTTGGCAGCTATTTTTTGAGTCCATGGTCTCTTTTGAAAGGAGCCAACTCAGCTGGTTTGTTTGTCACAGGCTTATTTGTAATGAATGCCTTTTAATTACTTTAAGCATTTCTATTTGACTCTTCCTTAATAATCCCCATGTCTCTACCTAAGTCAATTCTATTGATTTGTACATTATTATGTTTCCCTTTCTATTTTAACACAGCACTAATAATCACTTTGTATTTCCTGTTTTATTAGTTCTAATATGAGTCATCTTAGAAGTTCATCCTGATATTTTTTCATTATGACTTTTTTGATATCCATTTATGATAGACCATAATTTTATATGTTAGCCAGAATGCTGGGATTGGTGCTTGGCATTGACTTATTATTTCATATTATGTATTTTTCTCCCTGTATATGTGCACACCTTATGTTTCTAGGCCTGTACTGTGGAAGTTTGTGTGACTCTAGTCAGATTTGCATTTGGAATGTATTATTGAAGTGGCTCCAAGTGTTGAAGGTTTTCTGTGCTATGAGCACAAAAGAGTTTAGACACCTCCACTGATACGTCATATGTGCTTCCTGCCTGGCTTTCTGTTTACACTCCCTGTTCTGAGAAAATCTACTTCAGCTTGCCCAGGTTAGTCTCAATTTTGCATTTACCTGATAGTGGTTGATGTGGTGGAAGAGGTGGGCTTGAGGTGGCCCTTTTTGACTTCCTTCCTGACACAGGTTCCTAGGCAGGCATCATGCCCTTGGTCTGCACTATGCCCTTGGGTGTTGCCCTGTCCATCCACAAGAGCCAATGCTGCCCTCATACCTTCTCAGTGCCTTTCTTTTCCCGGTTCTTTTCCCAGTTCTCCCAAAGCCCTGACAGTTATCCATCAGCCTCTTCAGCTTCCACCTTTGCTGCCTGTCCCTGAAGATCAAGCCTTTGTTCCTGTGATGGAGAGGAATCGTGTTTCTGAGCATAACTTCAATGGTGACAACTCTCCCACTCCCTTTTCCTTTGAGGTTTCCCAGTGGGCCTAGGACACTGATTTCTGCCTCTTGTCCCCAGAAGGGTAATTGAATAGATCCGTAGGAGACAGAGGAGGTGAGTCTGAATGCATTTCAGAAACGTGTTCTCCCTCTCTCTCAGACAGAACCATCTGTGAGGGTGCCACCTTATGATGTGTCCCCAATCCTGGAAGAAAAAACTTCAGAGGGAATAGAATAGGAATTCGCCAATTATGTGACCACTGGAAAATTTAAACTGTTATCTCCATATCAAATCCAGCTTCAAGTGATTCAATATCTATGTCCAGTATAGTATTGTCCTAGCCCACATGCCATCTGGTGGACTGTGCCTATGAGCTACTGCTCTGGTCCTGTTTCTCCCTGCAAGTACTGCTCTCTGTAGATTTCAGGCTTGCTGTTGGTAACACAACTTCTGCTATTTGAAATATTAAATAAAATTTTCTAATCTACAGCTTCTACAGTCATGCTTTATAGATGGTGATGATGTTGCTATTGTTTTGGTTGACGTAAGGTTGATGGTAAAGGTGATTTTTCTCAGCTGCCTCCTTATCCCAGATGAAGAGAAGCTTTATCCTTAATAGCAAGAAATTGGAAACAATCAAAATATTAACGAGCAGCTTAATAAATACGCATATTTAAATGATTCATTAGAACACTGCCCATATTTAACAAGAACTAATGTTTCACAAACACTACAATGTGGTTGCATCCACAAGTATGTACAGGGAGTAAATAAGCAAAAAATCACATTTCTTCTTCATGATTTAACTTTTATAAATTCTGGAAAGTGAAAACTAACACAAAGTAACATAAACTATATGAGCAGTTGCCTGTATAACTGGCGGGAGATAGAAAGGGGAAGAAAGAAGTAGAAATTTTAAAAGAACAAGTCAGAATATTGTGGAATTTATTTCTTGATATCTTGAATATGGTGTTGGTGCTGTCAGCATCTTTCATTTGCACACTTTAACCATGTCAAGGCCACTGTTTATCAACTATGCCTCACTGGAGTTAATATGAACAGTTGAATAGAGTAGTTGGTAGGAACATCTTAAAGGACAAATAGATAAAAATAAGTAAAACTTTAGGTACTTGGAAATAGATCTGCATTGACATTATCTTTCAGATTTTGTATATATTATATAACGAAGGCAAAAGTTTCCTTTACGTTCTTATCAAGAATCAAAATTCTAGAAACCACCATAGGCATGTCCAGCTCTCGTCTGAGGTGGGTTCCAAGGACAGGACCATAGGTCAGACACTAAGATTCATTCTTCTGGGATATGTGTTCCTGGACATATGACAAAATCTCTGTATGCTTCTTGGGTAAATTTACATGTGTAAAATGCATGGGAATTTGATATCTGCAACTCATCGTTAATGGTGCTTGTAAATTAGATAAACCAACAGAAGTTGATAGTAATCACTGCGCCATCACACAGTTTTTCTCTGGGCCCTGTCCTCATTCAGAGATCTAGCCCAGAGCTTGCTATATAACTGGGGACATGCAAATAGGGCTCTCCCTCTGCTGATGAAAACCAGCCCAGCCCTCACCCTGCAGCTCTGGGAAAGGAGCCCCAGCCCTGGCATTCCCAGGTGTCCCAATTCCATGATCAGGACTGAACACAGACACTCACCATGGAGTCTGGGCTGTGCTGGGTTTTTCTGGTTGCTCTGTTAACTGGCAATTCATGGATAACTAGATACAATGGGTGTGTGAGTGGATATGAGTGAGAGAAACAGTGGGTGTGTGTCAGGCAGTTTCTGACCAGTATGTGTCTGTGTTTGCAGGTGTCCAGTGTGAGGTGCAGCTGGTGGAGTCTTGGGGAGGTCTGGTCCTGCCTGGGGGGTCCCTCAGACTCTCCTGTGCAGCCTCGGGATTCACTTTTGATGACTATGCCATGGACTGGGTCCGCCAGACTCCAGGGAAGGGGCTGGAGTGGGTCTCTCATATTAGCTGGAACGGTGCTAGCACATACTACGCAGACGCCGTGAAGGGCTGGTTCACCATCTGCAGAGACAACAGCAATAACATGCTGTATCTGCAAATGAACAGTCTGAGAGCTGAGGACATGGCCATGTACTACTGAGCAAGAGACACAGTGAGGGGTGCCATTGTGAGCCCAGACACAAACCTTCTGTGGGGTCTCATAGGGCCACTAGGGGGCAGGCAGGACACAGGAAGCAGAGTCGGCCCAGGGCAAGTGTAGATGGAGGTTAATGTCAGGTGCACAGGAAGTTAAGGTCAGCTTTCCAGGGAAAACCTAAGTCTCCCTCTGTATCTTACAGTTTCCCCTGGAAGCCTGTCTATATTTAAAATTCTGTGCCTACCAATGATGTCTGTGAACTTGAAAATATTCTTATATGAGGATAAATCATTCTCATATGCCACCAAATTATTTACCATTCATGCAGGCAGAAGAACGCACAGGAGTCAGGTGAGGTTGTGGAAACTGTCTGCCCAGGATGCAATGTGACATCCATTGAGGGAGCAAGTGGGGAGGTTAGTGGAACTTCCTGACTACACTGCAGTCAAAGCAAAATGTAGCAGAACCATCCATGCCTGTGTGAGCCTAAGTTGCCCTTAATAGGACCATCGGGTCTCCCAGCCATGACTGTTACTTAGGGTTCTGCCAGGATGTGTCATTGCCTCGAAGTGGTCCCCACAGGATGTGGGTCTTTAGCACACACCCGGGGGTGGATGGTGGAGAGTGGCAGCTGGGTGCCTGGTCCTGGACCACCCATAGGTGGAGGCAGAGAGGTAAATCCTCAGGGTGCATACACTGCTCATAGATTTCCATAAAAGATAATATGGTTCTACATGAGCCTCTCAGATGATATATAAAAAGAAGCATTTAGTCTGCAAACAATTATAATTTCCATGTTTGCCACCTCTTCCTTAAATTTCTCCTGGCTCAGTGTTTCCCTTCACATGAGGAATTGTTATCTGTAGTGTGACCAACTGGGTCCCACATCCAGTGGTTTCTGTCCATGTGCAGAGATCTCGAGTAATTCGGTCATTTCGAGACACAAGCCCTCCCCTCACCCAGAGAGAGAGCAGAGATCTCCCTGACTGCCGAGTCTGAGGAGGAGCTGGCCCTGCAGACTGCAGAGTCTGCAGAGACCCCAGTACAGCTTTGTGTGGTCAGACACTTCCTGCATGGAGGGAGCTCAGCATCCACACTTCAGTGGAAGTGGCTCAAGTGTAATTGTGGGATAAGGAATGAGGATAATTGGATTTTATTCTGAATATTTTCCTTATACATGATAGGGTGATAATTGAATCCGTCTTACTCTGAATTTTTTTTTTT